ATAAAAAGACAAAAATTATTAAGCTCTCTTTATTTTTTTTCTTTTTTAATTTTGTCACTAACTATTTACTAAGGACTTTCGTGGACACTCTATTTGGTATAATTGATTTCATATTTTATAAATTTCGTGGACACTCTATTTGGTATAATTGATTTCATATTTTATAAATTTAGAAGATGAAAATATTATTTTGTTTCAATAGGAAAGGTTAATATGGCTATAACAGCACATTACATTTTTTAGACTTTATTTTAGAATACTTTTATTTGATAATTCTAAGTTTTTTATATAAATTAATTGCTTAAACGTAAGCTTGGAAATCAATTTATTTTAATAAAATTAATGTACGTGTGATAACTTAATAATTTTATGTAACTTGACAATTGAAAATTCTAAATCTGTATCAAACCAAATTTTCAAATAACTCATTAGGTTTAACCAAATAGTGGAGACTCTGGATTATTTTTATGTGGTTATAGGTTTTTACCTCGTTATCATCATTATATAGTGAGTACACATTTAAATATCAATAAATCGTTGGTTGAAGCCATTAAGTAAGTTTATGGATCTTGAATAAAAAGAACTTAATTAAAAAAATGAGACCTTATTATAAGTTGTCAATTATATTTTTTTAATAGATTTTTATTATAATTTAGTTCTCCTTGTTACTATTTTTTTTTAATTTATCTCATATAATATGAATTTCATTTGTGATTTGTTTTTAAGAGTAAAACACACACTTTAAAGTTTTAACAATTTTTTGTACTCCAAAATTTATTTTTCAAAATAAAAAAACTAATATTAGTTTAAATAAAATTGATGGAAAAACTTTTTATTTATTTTTCCTAAAAGTTCAATTACTCTTCATCAGAGTCTTCGAAGCACATTGTGACATCAATTAAGTACTTTAAAAAGTCAAAAATGAAATTGTTTTTTTTTTCTTTTTGTTGTCTTTGTACAAAGATTTCTTCTTATTATACTAGAGACTAGTTTCATGAACTGTTATTATTATTGATTTGAAATGTTTTTTCACATGAAGAAATCAAACACAATACTTTTCATTAAATAAATCTTCTCATAATACGTGGGTACAAGATATATAACCAATACAATTATTAGTGAAAATAATATTAAAATGATATTTTCATAATAAATAATGACGAGAACGAATAATTTGATGTTATTTTATATTTTCATAATAAATAATGACGAGAACGATTAATTTGATGCTATTTTGTATTATAAAGAGACAAAATTGACATAATATTTTTAAAGGAGTAAACTGTTATCACCTGTCAATCTCCAATTTTCGTGGACTGAGTTGGTGTGTTGTCGTTTATTAACCGATTGGATAATAATTAGGAATAAATTTAAATATAAATTTATTTTTTTAAAATTTAAGATAAATTTATTTTTTATCTTTAAAATTCAGAATTAATATTTTTAATTTTATAATTTTTAAAAATTCATTTTAATTTTTTAAGTTATTAATAATATAAAGGCTAAAAACCTATTTTGGTCCCTTATAATAATTGTTTGTTTCAATTTAGTCCCACTTTTTATTTTTTGTCTCAATTTGGTTCCTAATAAATTAATTGGTTGAAATGTGGTACTTTCGTCTAAATTATTTAAACGGAGTTAATTGTTGGACACGTGGATGTCACGTATATGCATAGGTGAATGTCACATGAAGGCCAAATTTCTTGAAAACACTTGGAACCAGAACGGCCCGTTCTGAAACCAGAACAGGTCGTTCTGGGTGCACACTTGGTATGTTAATTTTGTATCTGAAACAGACCGTTCCAGATGCAAAATTAACACACCACGAGTACAAAAAAACGGTCCGTTCCAGAATTATAATAATTTTGAAAAATATTTTTTTATGGTAAAAATTTTAAAATTACTTATTTTTATAAAATATAATTGTCTTATAAATAGAGTGATAACTTTTCCTTTTTCTCTTTCTGTCTGAAAAAATATTTAAGTGTCACTTAATAATTTTTTGCAACTTATTTAAAATTAGAAGAATAAAATGATAAAAATATAATTATTAAGTAAAATAAATCTATCAAGACTTAATTTTGAAGTAAGTAAATTTTTCCTTCATTAAAAATGAAGATAATTTTACCACAAAATAAAAAATAATTAAACAATAAAATAAAATATAAAAATATATTAATATATTTATTATATTAGATATAACAAGATAATTAAAATATAATTAATAATATAGATTTTATAAAATTATTAATATTTTATATATAAAAAAATGAAAAAAAATTTAGTGAGGGTAATATTACCAAATCCAGTGTTTGAAATTCTTTGTACCTTGAGTCTTTTTTCCTTCCACGATTCACAACCGTGAACTATAATCATTGACCGTTTGTGTGTAGCAGTCTGGAACCAGAACGACCCGTTTTGAAATCAGAACGGCCCGTTCTGGTTGCACTTTTAGTGTGTTAATTTTGCACCTGGAACAGGCCGGTCCGGATGCAAAATTAACACACCAAGAGTGCACCCAGAACAGCCCGTTCTGGTTTCAGAAAGGGCCGTTCTGGTTCCAGGTGTTTTTAAAAAAATTGGCATCCACGTGACATCCACCTATGCATCTACGTGGCATACACGTGCATGCCACGTGACCAATAGTTAACTCCGTTTAAATAATTTGGACAGAAGTCCTACATTGCAACCAATTAATTTATTAGGGATCAAATTGAGACAAAAAATAAAAGTGAGACTAAATTGAAACAAACAATTATTATAATGGACTAAAGTACTATTTTAGCCTAATATAAATAAAAATGAGGAATTAAGATAATTATATAACTTTAGATTTAATATAATATTTTCACATCAGTAAATAGATTTTATGAATTAATATTTAACAAATTTTTTAACAAAATTAAATATAAAGATTAAAAAAAAATCAAATTAAAGAACTGAAAAAATTAATTTAAAAGATTAAAATTATTTATTTTAAATTTAAGAAACTAAATACACACTAAAACATTATAAATATTTATAAGCCGGTTAATCAATATGAATCCCCTGGTTAATAACTTAATTATATGAAAATTAAGTTAATTAATTAAATTTTAAATCTTAAATCCTAGAATAATTAATTATGAAACTAAGAGTTAATTTGGACAAAAATTATGAAAGTGAAATCATTTAAATAATTAATTATATGAATAATTAATTATTGTTATAATTAATTATAATTAGAATAAATTTTTTAAAATAAATTTATCGAAAAGTGATTTTAGAATATTTTATTTTGTTTAAGTATAAGAAAATTCAATTTTTATATAATAAATTAACTTTAAAATAGAAAATGTTAAAAAATAATAATAAGTTTCAAAATTTCAAATTAAAAAATTAAATTATTTAAAAAAATGTTTGCAAAATTTAAGTTGTTGTCTCAAACAACCAAATTATTTCACAAATAATCATTTTTCTTCATTGAAATAACTAAAAGTATGGGAATTTTTTTCCCTAAATACAATAAGTTTTTCGTACACAACAAAAACAAAACATATAATTTTTCACTATGAGTTTTTTTCTTATATAAACTTAAAAAATTAATTTTAAGACATGAATTCAGGTAGGGGTGTTCAAATTGTTAAACTAAACTAAACTAAAAGAAAACTAAACTAAACTATAATAAATAGTTCACTAAACTAAATTGAACTAAAATAAATATTGACTAAACTAAACTAAACAATTATCTAAATTAGTGCACTATAGTTCTAGGAGTTTGAACTAAACTATAATATCAATTAAATTAAACTATTATTAATTATAAATTAAACTATTATTAATTATAAATTAAATTATTGTTAATTATAAACTAAATTGAACTATATTAAAAAAATAAATATTGATTCTAATGTTTATGAACGCAATATAATAATAAATGAGAAATAAAATATTTAAATATAATGTTGCATGTGATTATATTATGTTCAAATAATTTTTTTGTCGTATATTTTAATTTAAAGAAAATGTTATTAATTTTTTTATTCCTTTATTATAAATGTCATGATGATGACAAATGATTAGAATGTTAGATAATATTCAAACAGAAATTTACGATCTAATTTGTTTAAAATTTGATATAATATAATCTATTTAATTAAAATGTCAGATTTAAATATTTAAAAAATTTATTTATTTAAAAAGATTAAACTTAAACTTATAAAAAAAATTATAAAATCTGATAAACTAACTTATTTATCTATACGATATAATAAAAAAATAATGTATATATATATATATTAAATAATTAGGGCCAATCTTATGGTGAAAGAATTAATTTAAATATTCATATGTCCATTGTAATTTCAATGAATAAATAATAATAATAATAATAATAATGTATGTATTACAAAATTCATAGCAACATTAATTTTTAATTAATAATATAAAATCTTTTACTCCAACACTTTATATTAATTGAAAATTGTTAATTTATTGACAAATGTAACTTTTTTTATATGATGTATAAAAATTAAGCTCAAATCAATATGTTTTGTTCGTACTTTTATTTCACAAAATAAATTTTTTACAATTGTGATGGAATGATTTGAATGATGAAAATTTTTTAATAACATGTATAATATATATTCAATAAATATATCAGAAAATAATAAATTGAGAAAAAAAACTGTTAAATGTAATTTTGATACGTATAATATAAACAACTTTTTTTAGTTGTCAAATCTTTTTAGAATAATTTTGTTTTTATTTATTTATTTATCATTTTAAATTTAAAAGTAATATTAATTATTATTATGTAGTTATATTTTTGTTTTTAATTAATTTATAAATTTACAATGTATTTGTGCTTATTGTGGAATAAAAATGAAAAAGAATTTTGTAAAAACCTTTAAAATTATTTTATATAGAAAACAGAAAAGTTATTATATTTTTTGGTTTATATATAACATTTTAAATGAAACTTTTAAAGGAATGAAAGTAGTATCTTGCTAGCCTAGTAAATGTGTAGTCTCCGCGAGTCCGAAACGAACGTGGTAGTCAGTCTCGGACTCTCCGTGAATGTGTTTAAGACTTTTGCTTGTATTTAATTTTAGTGAACTGAACTATTAATTTTAATAGTTTAGCTTTATAAACTACATTAAAAATAATAGTTTGGTTTAAACTATTAAAAAATAATTTAGTTTATTTTAGTTTAATTTAGTTTAGTTATTTAAAAAGTTTAGTTTTAAATAGTTTTGTGGACACCCCTAAATTCAGGTACAGTGAATAAGAAATAAAAAACATGAGATCCAATTAAAATTGACTGATGATATTTTTTTTTAATCATTACTAATATTTTTGGTCTCTAAAATAGTAAAATAATAATAATTATGTTTTGTGGAAGCAGCATGATAGCATGTCCCATAAATGACGGTGCGAGTCTCAAGCGTCATGTGAGGTGGGGTGCCCATGCTAACTACACCACATTTCTTTCTATTTAATACCACCCCTTTCTTTCACAATTCTCTTCTAATTAATATATATCAATCCCACCACCTTTATTTATTTATTTATAAATATAAAAAAGTGATATGCTGACATTATAACCTAATTATAAACGATTATAGTGATAAATTTGTTAATTTTTTTACGTTAATTATATTAAAAATAATATAAATAATAATTTATAATTCAATAATTTTTAAAAATATATACTGACAATACTTTTTATTTATAACTTGATAATCTAACCTTCAACCTTTATTTTTCTTTTCTGGTATGTCATAGATTTCAAATATTTATCGATTTTATAGATAATTTTTATTAAGAGAATTATCAAAATTCTTCTTTTAACTACTAATTGTTATGATACAAAATTTAAAAATAAATTAAAAATACAATTCAACCTTATAAAATTTAGTTGTAAGGTGAAAATTATTATTTATTTATATATTATTATAATTTTAGTTTTAAACGATGTATGATGTTTAATACATTTTTCTTGTGTTGAAAATTAAATATTTTAAGCATAAAATTTGTATAACTAAATATTTATGGATAATTTGATAATGATCCAATAGTGAATGACATTATAGATATGACAATAATAACCTTTGATGTAACACCCCAATTTCCTTAAAAGGATAATTTTATTAGTTGAAAGTAGAGTTCCTCGAATTTCATAACTCATAACTCATAAGAATACCCGAAATTTCTCTACATTTCTTTGTTTTTGACTCCTAGCTTCTGTGCCATGATGCCAGTTGTAAGGCTCATAACAAATAGTTTTGGAGACTTTCTAATGTGGAACTTACTGTGAAATTATTTACCATGAATGAGAATAACTACTTGAAATGGTAATTGTGCATAATATATTGGCTTACATTCTACACCAAAATAAAAAATAAAAAAATTGGCTTACACAATCATTCCAAGTGGTTGTGTTTGTTCTTGGTTTTCAATATTGTTTCTTAGTTTCTTCCAATGGATCAGTGTATCTGCAAGAGAATAAGTACTATTTGCTTTTGACTAGTTCATTTACTTCAGTAATTTTCAGTTCTGAGCCCCTTTTCCTTGCCCATTTTAGTTTACGCAGATGGAAGCATATGCTTGGACATTTTACAAAATCAATGGAGCCCAATTTATGATGTAGCTGCAATACTTACCTCAATTCAGGTCCTAGTTATCCTCTATCTTTTGACATTGCTTTAAGACTATTAATGTTGGCATTGAATTTATGCTTCTGTGAAGTTATGAAAGAGCTCATATGGCCTTATTTTTTATAACTTCATTGTTTTGTAATGTCAGATTTTTTCCTTCTTAAATAGAAAACCATAAGAATTTATTGTATTCATTTTTAATTCCATCACTCAACAAATTAGTAAGCATTTTGATAGAATGCATTTTTTTTGCATTGTTCTGAATATTTTCTGTTCACATGAAACTGGATTTCCTATTGCAGTCGTTGCTTTGCGACCCAAATCCTAACTCTCCAGCAAATTCAGAAGCAGCTCGGATGTTTAGTGAAAACAAATGTGAATACAACAGAAGAGTAAGAGAGATTAACAAAATATTTGTTAATAAATCCTTATATTATAAATCACTTTTTTCTTAATTGTGAAAACATTTTTATTATATTCTCTTGCTCTTTTTGTATCTGACCTTGGCTTTGATTGTCATTTTTATTTCATCAACCTAGTCTAATGTGCTAATGAGTTATATTGTGTGTGGGTTTCGTATTGGCAGCATCAACAAATGACCAGGAAGTTTTTAGTTTCTGTTATGATGATAGATTTTGTCATGGTTTTGAAGAAGTGTTGGAACGGTACAGGGAATTGGTCCCTCAATTAAAGCTTGCATGTATTGAAACATTAGCCAAACTTCATTTCCATTTTATTTTCCCTGTAATTCGTATCAGCTCTCTGCTTATGCTTTTTTCCCTGAGAAGTGATTTTATTAATATTTCTAACCAGGTAAAACTATTTATAAAGATTGGTGTGGAAAGGTAAGTTACCTACGGAAATTTCCGTAGGTAAGTTATCTACGGAAATTTCCGTAGGTAACTTATCTACGGAAATTTCCGTAGGTAACTTACCTAC